AGTGGGCGAAACAAAGGACGATAAACTCATACATATGCGACATCGTAAAGGAGATTTCTAAAGAATCTTTTTTTCATTCTTTCCGAAGACAAATTTAATATACACATGTTGGTGAACATACTAGCAAACGAATAAAGAAAAACTTTGTCTTTTGAGATAAATATATATAAGCAAATTAAAAATTTTTTTACACATATATAATAATCGTTTAGGTGTTCTGTAAATCCTACTCACCTCCCAGAATGCGTTGTTTTGAGTCTGTTTTCAGATACACCAAAGTATTACCGTGATTGTTGGCTATCGAATGAAGTATCGCAAGTGAAGAACTCGTGTCTTTCGATTGTGCCGAAGGAAAATCGACGTGGGTTGGGTTTTCTTCCAAATATGTTGCTTTGATGTGATCGATGCTGATGCTAACGTTAGTTCCGTTTTTATCGATTATGTAGTACTTAGGTTTACGCGGTCGAGTAGAAACAGGTTCGACTGAACGCATGGCATTTGTAAGCCTGTTCGTGTAGGAGTTTAGATACATACACACTGAAGAAGATGAAGGATCAACGAATTCTCCTGGAAGTCGAAGCGTTGTTCCATAAACGAGCTGAGCTGCAGTGCATCCAATGTCAGATTTCACTGCATTGCGAATACCTAGTAAGACGAGTGGAATGGCGTCAGGTCCACAGAGAATCGCCTGCAGCCAATAGGGGAGTCTTTAGCTGTCAGTGAAAGCGTTCTCCCAATTCTTTTGCTTGTGGGTGGTAGGCAGTCGTCTGGAATCGTGTGATTCCTAATAGTTTAGTCAGGTAACAGAAAAGTTCAGTCCACGGTCTGTAGTGATAGTTGCAGGACACCTGAAGGTCGCTATACAATGTTCAACAAAGGTGTGAGCCACCGTTTCAGTGATAATGTCATTGATGGATACTGCTTCTGGCCATCGAGTGAAACGGTCTTCGCAATTTAAGAGATAAGAGTATCCATTTGAATTTGGTAGAAAACCTGCCAAATCCAGATGAACATGGTCAAAACGAGTATCAGAATTTTGAAAGAACCTAAGGGACAATTGTTGTGTCTAATCACCTTAGATTTCTGGCAGTTTGCACAGGAGCGAGCCCACTCCCTCACATCTTAATTCATATCAGGCCAGCCAAACCGTTCTACCATAAGCTTAATGGATGCACGGATACCTGATTGAGATAGTTTGTGCAGCGTGTTGAAGACGTTGCTTCGATAATGCTTCGGCAAAATTGGATGATCCCTACCTGTGGATTTATCGCCCAATAAGGTTTCCTGAGCTGTCCACAACTGTTTAACAAACAGTTTTAAGGTCGTTGAAAATAAATCGTGCTGAAGATCAATGTCTTCTTTTAAAGCGGGGCGAGTTTAGAAACGTCGATTTTTTGGAGACTGTTCAAGCAAGTTATACGAGACAAAGTGTATGCAACTACATTGTTCGCTCCAGAAATGTGTTGTATGTCTGAAATAAACTTGGAAATATATTTCAGTTGTCGAGACTCACGAGGAGAGCATGGTGTCCGAAAATGAGCACAAAGAGAAAGTAAGAGGTTTGCGATCAGTAGAAAGAGTGAATTCTTGGCCCTCAGTGGAATGTTGAAAGTGCCGCACAACACAATACATAAGTAGGAGTTCCCTACACAAAATGCTGTACCTCGATTCAGTGTCCAGCATCAGTGTCGAAAAGAATTGCAAAAGTTTTCAGATGTAGTTAACCCTTTATAATAAGACTCCTCCGATTGCTGAATCGGATGCGTTTACTGAGATACTAATGGATGCTTGCGTGTCCTGATGTGAAACATGATTGCTTTTGCGACAAGTTCCTTAATTGTGGAGAATGCCTGTTTTGCAGTATCGTCCTAAATGATAGATTTCGCATTTTCACGAAGTTAGTCGGTTAAAGGTTTCATAAGCGACGTTCAGTTTCGTATGAACCGTCTATAGAGACTCACAAGACCGTTAAATGTGCGTAATTGCCTCATTATGGTCGGTTCTGGATAATCCAGAATAGCCGCCGCTGTGCTTCTCAGAGGTCGGATGCCTTGAACTTCCATAGTGTGTCCTAAAAATATTTAAGGAGTCAGTTTTGATTTGACATTTTTGAATGTTTGCGGTGATGCTATACTTTTGCAGTCGTTCTAAAACAATGTTCAGATACTTGAGATGAGATTCTCTGTCCGTACTTGCAATCAAGTAGTCATCAACATACACATGCATGAAGTTCAGATCTCGAAATACATCATCTGCAAACCTTTGGAAAGTCTTAGCAGAATTTCTTAAATCAAAAGGCGTGCGTGAAAATTCCTAGAGTCCGTAAAGAGTTATGATAGAGGTTTTGGGACTGTCGTCAGTGGTCATAGGAATCCGGTTATAATCTTTAACAAAGTCGATTTTCGAAAAGACAGTTGTACCTTTCAAGGTAGCTTTCAAATCGTGAATGTGGGGCGATGAGTGATGATTGGGAATGGCCTTCGCATTCATTCACCTATAGTCACCAGTTGGACGCCAATCATTGCTGTCCTTTTTAGAAATCAAGTGCAAGGGAGATGACCATGAGCTATTTGACAGTCGAATTATTCTTAAGTCTATCATGTGGTCGAATTCGTTTTTAGCTGACCTCAGCTTTTCGGTAGTCAGTCGGCGTGCTTTTGTGAATACAGGTGGTTCTGTAATCGAGATGTGATGTGTAACATTGCTGGTTACATATAGCACTTTTGTTGTGGTTGACATATTCCGGAGTATTTATTGAGTAACAGTTGATATAAGGGGTCTGTGGCGTGCTTAATTGTGACAGGAGTTAATCTGCAACCAGAAAAAGGAGTTATGCAAACAGATAACTTAGTGTTACCGTCTATTAGCCTTCGTTTGCGTGTGTCGATTAGTAGAATGTGGTAGCAGGTCTATTTAATGATTAGCACAGAAACATCTGCAACAACAAAATCCAGTGGATGGGTTTGTGTAAACCTTCGTTAAGATAGACATAGTTTTACCATATGTAGCGATAGACTTTCCGTTTTCCGCCTGTAAGTTTAAACCGGTCGTTAGAGTTTGTTAGAAGAACGCTAACCTCTGTGATGTTATCGTAGAGGTAGCGAACTTTTGTTACCTCATCTGTAACGTATAACCGACGGCTGTGTTTGCCAGCTACGGTTGCCGTTAGTGCGTGCCAACTGGGAAGTTTCCCGAATTGCTTTTCGTGTCAGTTGATTTTGAGTTCGAGTAATTGCAGGGTTTTCTGAAATTTCTACAAAATGTTCGGTATTGATTATGATACCATCACCAGTCGGCGTTAAATTCGCCTGTGACTCTTCTAGAATTACTGACGGTTACAAGCCCGGGTAAAGGAGTAGGGTTGAGAATGGGGTTAATGACCACATCCAGCAGAAAACCAACTAACGAGGCCGATGCCCCTCATAACAACCAGAGCAATGCTTTTTATAGGTACATGGAACGTCCGAACTATATGGGAGACCGGGAAGATCAGTTAAATAGCAATGGAAATGAGGAGATACGAATTGGCAGTACTTGGAATCAAATAAACTTATTGGACCACAGCTGAAACGCAAGGGCTAGATACGGGAGAAATTCTGCTGTACTCTGTTCATGAAGAGGAAAATGCTCCACAAACTAAGGGAGTAGCTCTAATACTGTCCAGAAAAGCACATAATACACTTGTAGGATTGGAACCTCATGGATCCAGAATTATCAAAGCAGCATTCAAAACGAAGTAGGAGGGGATCAAAAGTAATGTTATCCAATGTTATTCACCCACTAGTGATAGCGACGACGATGATAAAGATTAATTCTATCAGAGGCTGCAATCAATCATAGCTAAGTGCTCAAGAAAGAACCTCATCATCCCGATGGGAGATCGAATTGCTGAATTCGGAGTGGACAACACAGGATATGAATATACAATGGGATGACATGAACTTCTCAGTTTCGTTTTATCTTCACTATATATATATATATATATATACCTGTGGCATCTTCATTAAGTTTCAAAAGAAAACTTCGCGATGATTTATGCATCCGAATTTTGCCGTCTTGCAGATGGGCCAACGGCTAACCTTATGAACAAACGGAGAAGGACGCTTTTACAGCTTATCAGCTGGATTTCAACATGTCTCACATTTCACCCATAGTAATTATTTGTTATTAATATTCACAATGCCATTCAATCTTATTCATCAAAATCTCTTCAGCAGCCACGGTTTTACTCTTGTGATTTGCTGTATGGTAAGAACCATCAAAAATTGAAGGAGAATATCATAGACCGTGGGCGTTCTGCCCCCACTACACAAATCTGAAATTTTTTTTGACATCCATTTACTTACTCGTCTAAAGTCTTAAAGAACTTAGTTGACTGTTTCTCTTGGGATTAAGTCCTTCCTCTACTTTCTCTTCTTTTGTTGAAATCTTCCATATCACAACTAATTGACAAGTTTTTTTTAACATGATAGATGATGGTTCTAGAAAGATCACTATACTAGGACGAATGCGTCCATTTGTGTTAAAAAATATCAGAATATAGCATTACTGATGTCCATACCTGCTTAGGCGTCGTATTCCAATCCAGTGATCGAAAGTGGCGGAAAGAAAGAGAATATTTGAATCATAGCTCGACACGTCAAAGTAAATTTAGTCTAAGTTAACTAGTTTACGGCTACTTGCATATAACATACCGATCTCGCGATTAATGTCAAGTTCACTAAGATAGCAGATTAGTGACCAAACTACCTGAATTGAAAGAAACTAATGTTATGTAATCGTATCTTAGTATGAAGAAGTAAGAAGAACAAAATCAATTGATTTACACTAGTTTTTGGATTTTGGGTGCCACTTTGTCCGTTTGGAAGAAGCATATAATGAAACATATGTCTCAGTAACCAAGAGTTTCCTGCGTCTACCTGATTTCAGATTATGGGAAATAAATAGTTGATTCCTTCCGCTCAACAAAGTTCGAGGTTTGTTCCAATTCACTCGATGCCATACTTTTAAAAGCCCGGCAGAAAGATCCGCGTGTTTTGATGGGGTTTTCTAGTTGATGCTTTTCTTGTAAAGTAGGTAGTTATGGCATTTGTATTGCTTGCGGCCATGCATTTTGGCTTAGTTCTTGCAGGTAACATATTGTTTTCACATTTTGAGACCTTCAGAACCATCTATGAAGCCCAGTTCTATCAGCTCAGTGACTGTATGGCCAAAGACACTATTTCCCATTGAATTAGGACAAACTGTTACGTGGGTGTTTAGTCCAATTGGAGGTGCTGACTATGATGCAAACTCGGCCCTCAGTTTTGACATTGGTGGTCAAAGGGCTTACCGCGTTCAAAAGGACAAGTGTGGAGGTCCTTTAGAGAAATATTTCTCGTGCATTTACAAACCACAAAACGAAATCTCGGTTACTTTCACAGCAGATGAATCCCATTATGGACAGCTGCTGCAAGTTTTTTACTATAAGGACATGTATTCTTTGTGGCTTGCAGATACACCTGCAATTTTCACCGAAACTATTCAGGTACAGTTTACATTTGTGTTGCGGAGTACAATTATTTATGAAATGGAAACATGTAATTTTAGTGCATTTATTGTTCTTTATACGGCAGTTGATGATTCAAAAGAAAATTTACGAGGTATTTGTAAATTGAACGCTGTCAATAAAATAGTGACTCGTTATTAATGCACAACTATGTTTAATTTGAACTGTAAGCCTAGTTGTATGGTTTATTAATATACAGTTCTTTAGAAAGCAAAAGCAATGTGGCTAATGTTATCTTGATAATTTTTCGAGTGTTCGGAATATTGGCTTTTGACAAATGTATCTCCATATTTCTTTATATTCAGTAACTTGCTTAATGCTAAATAGGTCTTCAGACCATGAGACATAAACTAGGTAGGTCCTTACGCTGTCGTAGTAGTATGCTGCGGTCGTGTACGGGACACTGCAAGCGAACAAAATTTTGATTCACTTTCGCCAATTAATCAAAATGGTTTCGGGGATTTCTTTATGCTTTCTTATTTAAAACGAGTTACTAGGTCTATTGTTAGCCATTTAATTATTAAGTTAGGTACATAGATATGCTTAGTTATTTGCTTTTCAGTGTCTACTTTTATTTTGAAGTTGAGAAGCTTATTCATTACTTACGAGGGTTACTTTATTTTGTAATGATAATATCATATCTTTACTAACTGAAAATTTAAATAACGACATTCATAAAGAACGAGACAACTAGTAAAGATTAATGCTGTTTAGTATGGTCTTTCTGGTGATATCAAAGTGTGCCACCACTAAGAAATAGTTCGCACTCAAAAAGTCATCCACAGCCGTAATTTTCTTCATGTCCAACTAATTTCAACTCCCGTGAAACTGCAATAAGTGTATGCTGAAATCTACTAAACATCCAAGTATGCCGTTTATACTTAATAGTGGAGTGTTTGGTTAATCCTTATCCTATAGTTGTTCATCTCGTGTTACCTGTGAGCTCCACTTAATAATGATGATTGGATGGATATTGTGATGGGTTTCCGCCTTTATATTTTAAGTTTCACACTATTGACCAACTTTGAAGAAATAAACGCCAAAAAACAAATAGTTTGGGACAACTGATTTGCCTTAGTATTATGATCGTTACCAAGAGATTGAGCCCAGGATCAGAAGGCTTTAAAACTCCTCTTCATTTGAACAGTTTTTCGGGTAGTCAATCAGTATTATGTAACGTAACGTTTGACACATCCATTAGTTCAAGCTGTCATACTTTATCGGCACAGTAAAGTCCCCGAGTAAATGAGTAGTAAGTCAGTCATTTACAGGCATGTATATGCACCGGTCCAAGTTCAGTCAGTCACAACGTATAACTTCGTACGTACGTACATCAGTTCGAGTTGCCATACCATCTAAATTCAATCTGAAAGCCGACGAAATCTTGGGAAATTAATTCATTTGGTTTAATTCATAAACTTTATTGTTTTCATATTGCTTCCAAGGTTTTTTAATTGTTTGACATTTTGACAAATAAGCTGGTGTGTTGATTCCTCTTGAATGTAGATGACAACGGGATATTCGAGGGAAATGATACGATATTACGAAACTGTCAATAAAAAATGCTAGTTGCAAATAGATTTTTTGTCTGGCTAGGTTGACAAACTCGTTCTACTGTTCTTCATTTATTAACCTTTTGTATCTTATTTTCAACACGAAAGCTATTTCCAAAATAATAGCAGAAAGCCTTAAAGTGTTATTCTGTCACCATGATTCTAAAATGATTTACATGGTTTTTATTTTAGTTGATTAAACAACCTACATTTGTGAAAATGTCAATGGAATTAAAAGAACCCTCTCGCTATATTCATAATGTACCAACCAATCTTCGCTTGGATCCCCCAATATTCCTTACTGGCTCTAATGTTCGGATTGACTGTTCGACAGATGGCTCGTTACCTCCAGCCCCAATAAGCTTCAGTATCGAATGTCCTCTCCCACCAACAGCTGTTGTTGAACACGATCGAGTCACTCAAGCTAAACAAAACTTAGCCTACGAAGTTTTTTATGCAGCTTATGGTTTTCGTTCCCCTCCAACACTAGCCGAGTTAGCTCCATATGTTGCACGAAAGAATGCTGATCAAATTCTACGTCTTGGTCATGTTTCATCCAGTAAAGATAATTTAACTTTGACAGCTCGTCTAACCATTAATGAAAAAGCACACGACTGTCATGTTGTTTGCCGTTTAGGTGGAAAAGAGACACGTCGTATATTGACAGTATACTGTAAGTATGACAACACACTATTTTGATTTCTATTTAAGGTGGTTTTTGTTACTCTGGGTGGATGCTTTGAACTCTCAGTTGGGTGACGTCTTCGTAAGATTCGTAGTTATTCTTAGCTTAGAAATGTGGTTTTGCCTTGTTAATTATCACATAATAAGGTTGCCAGTCAGCGCATAACTTATATGACCTTGCCACTGTGCCAAACCAATGACGTGTTGACGGGTACGAGAAGCCTAAAGTCCTTATTGATCCTTCTTGTCTAGCCCTGCCTATTGAGCCCAAAACGCCAATATCAGTTTGCACCATGTGAGTTATATATTTCAGACATTCTTGGTTTATATACAACCAAACCAGATCACATCATACCATAAAATAATTATACAAGATCCAGCCAAAGAGTGGCTGTGATTGTGAGAGACTGTAACTAAGAAACTGGGAATAACTTAGGTATAGTAAATCGTGTAATGGTGGTCAATAGGTCAAACAAATCTTATGATAAAGGATATATATATATATATATATATATAACCTAGTTGCTTAATAGCTATAGAATAAGAATATATATATAATGGTCCATAAATAGATCCTAGGTATTCATTTGTTCTTCGTTCGGATATAACAATATTTCACATTTCTTGGAGTTTCGTTTTGTTTGTAAACATTTACCCCATGGTTTACTGATTGTTTAGTTCCCATTTTTTTACTGCTGACGTGATTATCGTTTTATTATAATTCCCGAAATTGGATTGTGACAACCATTGGGACGAATTTAGGACCATGTCACATAATGCCTTCAACCACATATTACAACTACTGTCAGGGTCCCAATTCTTCACCTTTCAACGGGACTTAGATCAATAGTCTGATTTCACGGTTACATTCTGTATCTTTATTTCCTCTTTAGTAGCTTTCCTCAACGTGCTACTACAGCAGGAAATATTGAAAATTTGGTAAGTATTGGCTAGACGTGCCATTACCGTCTCAACTGATTGCTTCTGGCCTCACCAATCGACCTACTGTTTCTTTTCTTTTTTACCTAAAACCCTCAGAACAGACTCATTCATTCTGTTTCCACGCTATTCCAACAATGCTTCGAAAATACACATTTCAGCTTACACTTGGATGTATTGAAGTCTGGTTTTAGAAAATGGTTGTTAATTCTCTCTTGTTATAGATAAAAAACGGCGAGTGGTTGCAAAAACTGTGTTAAATATCTAAGTGAACTGAAAAACTACTAAAGAGTGGTCGTTCTGTAATGATAGAACTGAAAAACTCAATAAAGCAAGGCTCTATCTGTCACTATGATTCCTGGGTCATACCACCTTAAGGTATAATCATTTAAACCTAAACAATACATTCCAAATTTCTCCATAAAAACAAGCAATCGCCTTCGTTAGATTCTCACTTCAATATTACTTACATAAATCTTATACCTTAGTCATTGTCATTTTTCTGATTTGAAGGTGTATCGTTTAACATATTTATCTTAGTGCGCACATCTTAGTATACCACATTAGATGTAGCGCAATGTCCTCATGTCTTATGAAACTAGACGTCTAGTGCACAAAGCTTGGAATTAGAGTTTCGCACTGAAATATTTAGTGCTAAAAGCTTACACTCTTGAATGGTATCTTTGATGCCTAATCCTTTCTATCACCAACTCATACTGTTACAACCTCTACTATTCTGGAATTTGATTTGACAGTTTCATCTCTCTGTGTTAATGGGTTATGGCAATTTGAACCAAAATACATACATACCAGGTTCCACGTTTCAATTGACTGACACTCCAAATCTCTTGTTTCTATTAGACTGTGTGAAGAAAATTATAAAACTTATAAACTTCCTTTATACTTTGATAGTGACTTAAAAATCGCGATGCAGTTTACTTATTCAGTCATAAATAGCAAATATATCGGGTTCTAATAGCCGATTGGTGTTTATAGTGCCTCACTTGTCAAGTTTAATATGATATCTCCGTCGTGTTGTATTTTTTTTCCTAAGTTCAAAAGCTTAACATTTTGTTGACTTGGGCTACAAGTTCCTATAGCTATTGTCTGATTGTTTGAATTTTCCAATTGATGTTTAGGACTGCAATCGATCGTTCTGTTTAGATATATGTGCATCCTATACGGGTTGCCTCAATATTGTCATTAAGCCACAAGTACTTTAAGCAGAGATGGAACATGAACTCTCAAATTCAGGCACAAGCAGCTGACTAGTTTCGGACATGCGTCTTGGATTCCAATGCTAGCCACCATCCATCTTTGTTTAAAACTTATTGTGATTATTTAAGCTTTAGCTTTATCCATAACTCATATATTTATGCCTTTGTAGATCCAACTACAATATCTTATTTATTGCCACGTCCTCGTGAAGGATTTATCTATGTTGGGTCGGAGATAACGTGCTATGCAGACGGACACCCACCGCCTATGTTGTCCCTCCGTCTTACACAACCATTACGTCCACCCAACCCACTTACTGTTGAAGAAATCGACGCTTTACGTCAGGGTGGTCGACTACCTCCTTTAATTGAAGATGACCCTATAACTAGGGAATTAACACTTACTAATGCAGGACTAGATATAGTTCCACAGCAGATCGTACCATCTCCTCCTGGAACGGAGAGTAAGGATAGCTCATCTGTTGCGTCTTCTGGCACACTTCATCAAGTCCCGGTGGGTCCCGATAACAAGTGGCTAAATGGAAACGGAAAAGAACCTTATGAACGTGCTCACCGTGTTCCTGGGCTTGGTTTATCCACCGTCGAGAGGCATCGTCAACTAGGTCTCAGACCCGACGAATATAGTATACAAGGAGCTACATTTTATTTAGCACCAAATGCTACTCCAGGTGTTGAACTTCTTCTGAGTTGTACTGCTCGCAATGTTCTTCCAGGCGATACAACATTCTTGGGACTGAATGGAACAATTACTCGTACTCGATTTGTAGTGGCTGGTAAGTTAGTGTAATTGAGTATATAGTAAATCTAGTTTTATGTACAACCGTGGTTTGAAGGCTGTACTAGCACTAGTATGCTTTTGAATTACAGTGTATTTTCATAATATAAAAACAATAAATAGTGCAAATTTCAATAATTTTATGGGCCTCAGTACTAGGTCACGGTCGTAATTCATGATATGAAGATCTAGATACCAAAAGGTAAATAGACAGCGTGGTTATTCGTTGTGGTTCATTGGTTCGAAGTCAAATCTTCATATCAATTCCCAACACCATCTTGAGCGTTCAGTATTTGCGTTGATAAACATTAGAATTATTTTTCATTGCTGCTCAGTCGTAAAACAACCTTGGCAAAAAATTTAATTATTGTTTCCTAATAAATGAATAAAAATAAATCAACCCTGACAACCACAAAATCAACTGGAGTGTTCACATGTTATTTGTTGATTACTTGCTTGTAGCTCAAAAAGTTCGATGTTGTTGTACAACAAGAAATGTGTCACTAAAGATGAAGCAAAGTGGAAAAAATCATATAGGAACAAGAATAGAAATGTTAGAGGGAAAATTTAATTCCTACTAAAATTGCACCCTTCTCAGTCATGACTAACACCAAAAAGAGTTACAACGGTATTACCACTGACTCATGCTTCTAATTCATTTTTGATAATGTTTTAAGCGGTTGAGCTGAGCTATTTCTGTGAGTGTAACCGTAGGATCGTTGGAATTATCATTCGTTTGAGTCGATTTAGTTTATCCCAAGTCGTACGTTTTCTATGACTGAGATAATAGGAGAAAATGCGAAACTATTTGGTGATTGCAGTGCTCAACATTCGACTTTTGAGCTGCAGTTTAGAGTTCAACTCAAGCTGATTTGATTTGAATAACCAGACTATCTTACTAACTTTCACACAAAAGTCGTGGTTAAAAACCGAGCTCATGGACTTGTACTTGCTTGCTTATTCGCCTTTAGTTGAATGTTCAAAATATCAGCAACGGTCATTTTCTTATTATTCTATAAGTAATGCTCATCACGAATCGACTTCAGTTGGGCCTGAAAAATTTGATCCCAGTCCCTAGTAATGTCGTGGGTCCTTATTGCTGGGGTGTCTCGTACGAGTGAAACAGCTGCTCAGTGCTCTCTAGCTTTCATTAGTTGCCTAGTTAAAGTCATTCCGTTACATAAACTACAATATAAGCTTTCTGAACAAACCTGGACTAAAACTATTAACTAAAATCGCATAAATAGATATGACTATTTACGGTTTCCCACAATAAATGGTTTATTTTTTCAGCTTGTAACATTATTCGTTTGTTATCGTCTATTTTTTGGACATGGATTTTCATTCTTAGTGTTTGTTTGTGACTGTTGTCATTGTTCTGGCTGGTATTTATTTGTCTCATTTAGTGGTCGACTTCATATTTTCCAGGTTTTTAGTTTGTTGCCATTTATATGTATTCAAAAGTAGCAAAAAGCTTATGCTCTTTTGAGTTTCACACCTATATTTTTGAACATGTATCCTATGAGGATTTCTTTCAGAATGTCCCATCTTCGAAATCAGATTATAGACGTTTATACACATAACTGTACCTCCACACAAAATACCGTCAGTATCGATAATCTAACTTGAAGCTGGCCGCAGTACTGTAAGTACGTTCATAAACTGACTACAGCCGACTTATCGACTTATCTTAAAGAAAATCTTGTGTCATCTTTTGGTAACTTGTTTTTCCAGTGACATTTGCATCATCAGCCAAAACCCATTTACTGGTTAATTTTGTTCGAAACTGTTTAAACAATCTATTCACAGTTATGTTAATCATTCCTCAAGTCATTTCATGATGCCTGAAAAAATCAACTAAGCAGTTAAATCGTATGTCATTATTACATTGAAGTAAACAAAAATCTGTTCATCTCTTCTTTTTTTAAAAGTTTTATCACCAACTAGTTGGGCGGTAGCTCTTGGAATATGCTTTTGTGTACTACTCATATTATTGATTATATTCGGTGCCATGCTATTACAGAAAAGGCATCAAAGTCAAGCGGCCAGGAATTCAAGGAGCACATCAAATGGAGCTAAAAAGTAAGTTTATGAGCTAATTAACAGAATATTTAAAAAAGATTATATCCTTATATGAAATCTTTCTTTTATATATTACTACCGTTGAAATAACTACTTCTATAAATTTAGTGTTCATCTTGTTGTGTTAATGAGGTGTTGCAACTTGGACCGAGGCAAGTTTAGTAAAGAAATTCTTCGCTCAAATTATAAAATATTGCATCGAATTCCTGTTACGTTACACTTTAATTGCAAGGATTACTGGATATTTTTCTTTAAACGCGAAAAATCCTGGGTTAATTCTACAACTACTATTATAATATTTTTCTAAATAAGATACTATGGGGTGTTTGTACTTTGCCCCCTATTGGACCTGCGGTGCATCTGTTAAAGCACTCGACTTACGGGTTCAGACTCGCATACTTCGGCTTGAACATCCTGGTAGTTTCACTTATCCTCACAAAAATGTATGGACCAAAACGGATTACCTGGTAAAGAAGTATCATCTGTCAACTCAGACCTTGTTCTGTTATAGAATAGGCAATTAGAAAATATGTGGACTATTATAGTATCGATTTCAAATGATTTTATAAAAGCTTGCCGTTCTATGACATAGTTATTTAATTAAGACATTGAAAATTGGAAAGTTACATAGTAGGTAATTCGGACGTTTATCTTCCTAGTAATCTTTCTTTGGTTACAAACTTCTAATCAATTGTTAAGCGGACTTTTCGTAATAGGGAAATGTACTACACTGTTTTCGGTGATACGCAGTTGTAGTTTTTCGGGTTATGATTAGGTTGAATTTTCGTATGGAATATTGACGATAATGCTTTAGGTTATAATGTATGCTGAATTGCATAAAATCAACTTAATTAAATTTATTTTTTTCCTCCACTTATAATAATTATAATATATTAAAACATAAATATTGGCACAAGGAAGCATCAAATGTATGTGACCCACACAAATCATTTGATATGTGTGAGCGCTGGGATACTGCCTAGGCGCCCAAACCGAAACAAGTGGTTTTCTTAGGGTGCCATTCTCTGGGTCTTCGATCCTGGGCTCTAATTCAAAAGGCAGTGGAGCAACGTAAGGAGATGCAGTTCTATGTTAGCCGGTGACCAACAATAAGTTTGTTCCATCAGGATCCTGGCCCCTATGTTCATCACTGGTTTGGAATCGGGGTTTCCCAACTCCACTAAGTAGATCCTCCATATCCAACAACCCAGTCAAGGCGCCGGACATTCTCTTCGTTCTCTCAATTTCGTAAACAACACCCTCTCTGTGAGAAGGCAGTGAGTGGAACTTCCCTGTCAGTAATTGTATACGCGTGGCCATGTGAGAGCATTTCGAAAGGGATGGTGGGCCCTCCCCACCCTCGGCCGTACCAGGGCATTTTGGGGCACTTATAATAATACCGCGGTATTCATCTTGATAATTTCACTTCACTATGATGTGGTGAGGCCACTTGTACTGATCTACATATTTGCCAAGCTTTAAATTGCTTATCGACTGTCTAGATCATTATACCATGCTTTTTTATATTCTATACTAACGTCGATCAGTTTGTTTTCTAATGAAGTATGTCAAATAGCTTCAATAAGTTTAAGTTGTAGACTTCCTGTGCTAATGACTTTATCGACCAACAGTTTATAGTGATGTATCTACGAATCAGCAGTTCATATCTAATCATCATGTTAATTCAAAATAAGAAATTAATGGTGATTTTATTTGAATGTGAACATGTAATACTTTATCTTTCACTTATTAAGTTAAATTTCTCGTTTTGACGATTGGTTATATCATTTTGTCGGTACTGGCTTTACCATATAGAATATTACTGTATAAGTTTACCACCCATTTAAACAAATTTTCTTGGTGATAAAAAATAACTTCATCATCATATAGTGACTAATGAATTTGATTTGAGTTGTGGGTGAATATCACAGAGAATGAATTCGTGTTAGAATCATTCAAGTTTGGGACTATTAAAATGATCAATAAAACAGTGATGATTGATAGATAATGCATCATCACATGATATTAGATCTAATTATTAATTTTAACTATCTGAATGTATTGATAACAAAGACGTGACCAGTACCCAACCGAATGTTCTTTTGTTTACTTAAACAAGATACTTATATTTAAAGTAATAGACAAAATTAAAAACATTATTAGATTCCATAAAAAAACTAAGCAGTTAAAGAATATGAGTGTTATAAGTTACTAACTTGTTATTGAGAGAAATGAAACCCGCACTTTATACCTAACGCTTGTCCCTGATATCAAAGGGGTATTGAAACTACCTCCCCATGTAAACATATGTAGATGGGATGACGTCCAAACCTTGCTGAAATCCAAGTGCTTTAATCACCAAACCATAGCTTCATCTTTTTACAAGTAGTAAATACCATAAAATGTTTCGTAACTTAAAACACTTTTATTTTCTCTGTTATTAGTTGAGTGACCCAATAGCGTAGTGGATAGCGCTCTAGCGTTTGAAGAAATCGACATGATGTTTGAGCCTCAGAGCGAATGTAATCACTTGAATTTTGCTACACCCAACTAATGAGTTTTGATAAAGCACAAAACATACATCTTAGACCATTCCACTAGATGACCACCATGCATTATATAAGATGATATCATAGACATGTGTTCATGAACTGATACAGATTCTAAACAATTTTCTATGTATAGATAATTGCAGTGAAATATTTTCACATAATTATCCCACTTCAATATTAGTAGTTGAAGAGATGCGCAATGAGAGGTCAGACCTAATAGTGATTGTTTATTATTACTGCCGTAAATAAAAAAGAAGAAAAAATTAATAGGTCGAGACTAACTTGTTCGTTGTCTACTTTGTTCTGCAAAAGTTTGCTGATCCTTTCATATTTCAATATGGTGGAAGAAAATGAATTTCCCCATCACTTTAGTAGATTTTTCTTAAAATTTAATTTGCTATTTTTAGTGTTCTTAGTCATTGTGTCCAATTCAGTCAGTCAGCTACAACGTAGGACCAGGCACACATATGCATCGGTCTAAGTTGCCATACCTCGTTAGTACAACAAGATGAACACCGGATTCATAGAAGTAGTTAATTTAGTGGTGGTAATATATAAAAGAAAGGTTATATATAAAAATATAGCGCAGGAAGAAAGACAGATATGAAGCAATTTTAATCTCACTGTTTAAGGGAAGATAAAGAGTGTATACACCTACGCCATTGTGATCGATTCTGAGCCATGTCATTCAGAGTCTCCAACCATTGGTTACGATAGTCACGCGGACCCCAACCAGGTAGTCTGCATCTACCAACATGGCTCAGACTGGAAGTTAGTGACTTCAAGCACTGATGCCACGTTTTGGTTTGGCCGCCTCTAACTCTCTTCCAACCATCCCCCACACTAGTCAACATTGCGCGTCGTGGTAATCGATGTTCAGGTATACGTAACACGTGGCCCAGCCATCTCAGTCGATGAAGATTCATGACCTCATCAACTGATTTACCATCATTCCCTAATACCCTGTGTCTAACCTCACGATTACTTACCCGGTTATCCCAGCAGATGCGAGCAATATTTCTAAGGCATCTGTGGTCAAATACTAGTAACTTACGAGTATCTTATACTCTTAATGGCCACGTTTCGCAGCCGTAAAGTAGAACAGAACACCACCACAGAACCTCTCAGTCTACAGAGTCAAATGCTGCTTTCAAGTCAAGAAAAACTATCATAGTCAGACGCCGATAAACATGTCTGTGTTCTAAAACCTGACGAATAGTGAATATGTGGTCGATGCAGCCACGACCAGGTCTAAAGCCAGCCTAATTTTCTCGTGTTTGCAGTTCACGAGTCTTAGTTAGGCGCCCGATAATTATTGAGGCAAGTATTTTAGATGCTATGTTAGTCAGACTAATCCCTCCATGGTTATCGCAGGATGATTTTGGCCCCTTCTCCGCCTGTAGCTCTTCTAGAGTTACTGCCGGTCCCATGCACGGGTGAAGGAGGGTTGGGCATGGGGTTAGCGACCCCATCCCGTAGAAAAGCTAACTCGCTAAAAAACGCTAACCAGAAAAAATAATTCAAACCATTTAAACTCTGCCCTGGGAGTTGAAGGAATAATTATGACGTCTCATGATGAAAGCCGAAATTCTTCGGAAGTCACGAGACCGATGCACCTTCTAACAACCAGAGCAACACTCTTTATAGATACATGGAACGTCCGGACAATGTGGGAGACAGGAAAGACCAGCCAAATAGCAATGGAAATGAGAAGATACAACTTGGCAGTACTCGGAATCAGCGAAACCCATTGGACACAAACTGGACAACCAAGTCTAGGTACAGGAGAGATGCTGCTGTACTCCGGTCACGAAGGGGAAAATGCTCCACACACTCAGGGAGTTGCTCTAATGATGTCCAAAGAAGCACGAAATGCACTTGTGGGATGGGAATCTCATGGATCCAGGATAATCAAAGCATCATTCAGAACAAAGAAGCAAGGGATCACAATGAACGTTATCCAATGTTATGCACCCACCAATGATAGCGACGACGATGATAAAGATCAGTTCTATGAAAGGCTGCAATCAATCATAGCTAAGTGCTCAGGAAAGGATCTCACCATCTTTATGGGAGACCTAAATGCTAAAGTTGGAGTGGACAACACAGGATATGAAGATGTAATTGGACGACATGGACTAGGAGAGAGAAATGAAAATGGGGAGAGACTTGCAAACCTATGTGCTTTCAACAAATTGGTTATAGGCGGCACAATATTCCCACACAAGCGCATACACAAAGCTACATGGATTTCTCCGGACCACACCACAGAGAACCAGATAGATCACATCTGTATCAACAAAAAATTCTGAAGATCAATGGAATATGTGAAAACCCGGAGAGGAGCTGACATAGATTCAGACCACCACCTGGTTGTGGCCAAGATGAGACTGAAGCTAAAGAAAGACTGGACAAACAGCACTACAAAGGTTCAATACAGCCTTCCTTCGAGATACTGACAAGCTCCACGAATTCAAGATAACTTAACAACAGGTTCCAAGCTCTACAGGATCTACTGAAAGAACAAGAAACTACTTTGGAGGACAACTGGAAAGGGATAAAAGAAGAACTAACTTCAACTTGTCAGAAGGTTCTTGGTCCTAAGAAACATCGTCATAAGAAATGGATCTTTATGGGAACCCTGGACAAAATTCAAGAAAGGAAGAACAAGAAACTAGCAATTAACAACAGCCGAACACGAGCAGAGAAAGTCAAAGCACAAGCAGACTACGCAGAAGCAAACAGGGAAGTGAAGAAAAGCATTAAAGCCGACAAGCAGAAATACATGGGACAACTAGCAACAGCGGCGGAAAAAGCTGCAATAGAAGGGAATATAAAACAACTATATGATACAACGAAGAGATTGGCAGGGAGATATAGCAAACCAGAGAGACCAGTCAAGGACAAAAAAGGAAAGACAATCATTGAGATTCAAGAACAGAGGAAAAGATGGGCAGAATACTTTGAGGAACTGCTGAATAGACCAGCCCCATTGAATCCACCGAACATCGAAGCAGCCCACACTGACCTTCCGATAGATGTCACTCCACCAACGATCGAAGAAGTCAAGATGGCCATCAGACAAATCAAAAGTGGGAAGGTGGCAGGACCTGACAATATACCAGCAGAAGCACTGAAGTCAGATATTGAAATAACTGCAAACATGCTTCACCTTCTATTCAAGAAGATTTGGGAAGAGGAACAAGTGCCAATGGGCTGGAAAGAAGGATATCTCACCAAGATACCAAAGAAAGGAGATCTGAGCCAACGTGAGAACTACAGAGGTATCAGTTTGTTATCAGTACCAGGAAAAGTTTTCAACAGAGTGCTGCTGAATCGGATGAAAGACGCAGTAGACGCCGAACTTAGGGATCATCAGGCTGGATTCCGTAAGGATAGGTCGTGCACAGACCAGATTGCGACACTACGGAGCATCGTGGAACGATCAGCTGAGTGGAACTCATCACTATACATCAACTTCATTGACTATGAGAAGGCGTTTGACAGCGTGAACAGGAGAACATTATGGAAACTTCTTCGACACTATGGAGTTCCTGAAAAGATTGTCAACATTATCCAAAACTCATACGATGGACTACAGTGCAAAGTGGTGCATGGAGGACAGCTGACAGATGCATTTCCAGTAAGGATCGGAGTCAGACAAGGCTGTCTACTCTCCCCATTCCTCTTCCTTCTAGTGATTGACTGGATTATGAAGAATTCGACATCTGAAAGGAAATACGGAATACAATGGACTTCTCAGAATCAATTATATGATTTGGACTTCGCAGATGACCTAGCCCTCCTCTCTCATACACACGAACAAATGCAGATGAAGACCGCAAATGTAGCAGCAGCCTCCGCATCGATAGGCCTCCACATTCACAAAGGAAAAAGCAAGATTCTCAAATGCAACACGGAGGACACCAACCCAATCACACTTGGTGGCGAAACTCTGGAAGAGGTGGAAACATTCAAGTACCTGGGAAGCATCGTTGATAAACAAGGAGGATCTGATGCAGATGTAAATGCGAGGATTGGCAAAGCAAGGGCAGCATTTCTACAATTGAAGAACATATGAAACTCAAAACAACTATCAACTAATTTCAAGGTCAGAATCTTCAATACGAACGTCAAGACAGTCCTACTGTATGGAGCTGAAACGTGGAGAACTACTACGACCATCATCAGGAATGTACAAGTATTTATAAATAGTTGTCTACGGAAAATACTCAACATCCATTGGCCGGATACTATCAGCAACAGCGTTTTATGTGAGAGGACAGACCAGCTTCCAGCTGAAAAGGAAATTAGGAAAAGACGTTAGAAGTAGATGGGACATACATTAAGGAAATCTCCAATGTGCATCACGACTCAATCCCTAACTTGGAATGGTGAAGGGAAGCGGAAAAGAGGAAGACCGAAGAACTCACTACGCCGGGAAATAGAAGCCGATATGAAAAGGCTGAATAACAACTGGAAAGAAATGGAAAGGAAAGCTCAGGACAGAGTTGGATGGAGAATGCTGGTGAGCGGCCTATGCTCCTCGACGAGGGGTAACAGGCGTAAGTTATATAGTGTGTCCAATTACTGTAATAACTTTAAATAACTTTACCTGTAAAATAATGCTGAGTAAATGGTGGTTTTTTGCATGTGTCGACTCTTAAATTGTAATAAGGATCTACACGTACACAACCTAGAGATTGGAAATCGATTGTTATTTCCACTCAGTTAACACTAACACGCATGACATTCAGGCAGTTGTGTTAAAGTAAAACACACTTTTTGTTATATCTAGTAAATTTTGCATTAAATTTCACCATAGTTAATAATCTGTTCGTATGTGTCGTATATGTTTAGTGTCAGTTATAAAGACAATATTAATTATTTTTTTTTCATAACAAACAAATTGTTGAATTTATTGTAGAGTATTGAAAATAAATTTTACTTACGTACCATGAAATAAGCTTCACCTACGAACGAATAAAAGTAACGACTAATTCAAATGAGGCAGTATAGTCTAATCCAATTACACTAATTGAATATCATTCTAAGTTTCTTTAATCTCACTGTTTGTTCAGTAGTTAATAATGTTTGTCCTGGAATTCCAATCACCCATAGTCAACTTTCGATTTACTGTAGATAGATGGGTATCAGTTCAAGTCCCCACACACCATATCAGCGTGGCCAGACGAAATTGATAAAGTGAAAAAGCGAAACGGCAGCAAGTGTCAATGATTATTAAAAAAAGATTGAGCATAAAATATATGTTTCAAAAACAGAAGATAGAATAAAGAAACAAGAATTGTCAAATCATAGTGTGACTCAAAATCTACTAGATCATTATGATCGATTATCGGGGTATATCACCCAGATTTTTGCGACTATTGTGTTTATCCAATTCAAGTAGTCTTCGCTAATAATCTGATACATCATTGATTACATTATAGTGTCTTATATATTAAAAATGGATTCAAGAATTAAGTGGTTGCGAGCCATGTTTTATTAATTTTATACATCTACGTATATAATTATATTCCTGTTCTTCGTAGATAGTAATCTTGGTTATTTCATGATTGAAAAGACCTATGAAAGGTTCGAAACTACCATCATACCACATAAATAAATAATCTACTTGCTAATCAACTGGTTTTCTAGATTGATTGATAATTAGAATCTATGGTTTATACAGTCAGTCATCCAAGTTACGATTTAGATTTTAGGCGAGTATGGCGGTATACATAATTAACTGAATTAAATTTGGAAATATATTCACTTTCAGCTTCGCACCAGTGATCTTTAACGTATCCTGAGGCGTCCGTTGTGGTATATTTACCATTGAAATGATTGTCAAAATATATTATTCTCCCTTCTTAAAGATTCAATGATGGGTACTCCAGCCTGTCAGTTTGTTTGGTGGAAAATTACCCCTGAATTACATGAAATATCTATTTAAAAAAGCCATCAGAATAAATTGTGTTCTATTATTTTATTGGTCGTTTATACTAATTATCGTAATCATATTTTAAGAATCGTTTTCTGCTATACATCTCCATGGCCGGTTGGTCATCTTGTAACGAATACAGCTTTATTATTTTATAAAAATAGAAACTTCTTCTTTCAGATTAAAAGGCTGAGTAGATTATCCTTTTTTATATCGCTTAAACTTCAATAAGTAGCGCGTATATGAATGTTGTCATTATTCACAGTTGAATGTGTAAGCAACTTAATACAAATAAACGTAGTGAATGGCAGAATTTATGGAAGATACAATTATTTCCCTTCAATTGTATAAATTATAATCCATATGTTCTACAGATAGAAAACATAGTTATTGTTTGTTTTATCTCCTGAAGTGATTTGTTGAGGTGTCATGGTTTACTTTTTTTACAATGTATTCACACAAATAGAAAACTAAAAATAACTAGTCATCATAGAGTTAAAAAATATTCCGTAATTAATAAGCATATCCATCTTGAATTCTATCAAACTTCATATCTAGATTCATTCGTATCCAAAACTAGAGGATCTGTAAATTGTACTTGATTCAATTTTCGATTTTGGCCACACACACGTCTCTACATATCCTTTGAAGCAAGCTATCATCAATTCGTTCAGTGTCGATAAAATTATACCATGTATTTCTACCAAATATCCTATCAAAGTATTGAGTATATTATTAAAACACTCATTTTCCCATCCGTATCTGCTAACTTGGTGGTGGTTGGGCTTCCTTATCGTGGTGACCTAGCCTAGTTATATTGGTTGAAATGCGTGTTTCGTTAGGTCTTACCATATCGAACAGTTTGGTTGAAGAATGAAATGAGCCACGTAGTTAGGTGGAAGTAATCTGGTTGTGTTCCGCGAGACTATCGTAACCAATGGTTGGAATATGTGTGATTAACCATCTATGTATCATGTATACTTTTAGATTTTTCTCAACTCCCGAACTAGGGAGGTTTTTTTCTCATGTTTATTTTCTGAAAATAATTCATTAAAAGTGAAAATTATGTTTTAGTGAATAATAATGTGTGTAAGTAGTTTTGTTTTTATTTGATATTGGATTGTTTTAGTTATGTAATCCATGCTTTTCGTCTTAAAATACATCAAGAATCGCTATCTCTTCAACTCTTTGAGTTAGGCTTCATACCTATAAATGTAATAACTTCTACTTCAAATCATAATCCATATATATTCACTGGGCATCACCGGTAATCTAACTTAAGGTATAAATATATATCTTGAGTCATTCGGATAACTACTCCAATTTACTGTAGTTTAACCGAAAAAGCTGACAGTTTTTAACAATTTTATTTCACCAAATAGTATGCTGGTTTTTTCATCAATCTTTTCATTTATTCGAAACTGTCAAAATTAATCTTTTCCCCCCAATTCTTCTATGCTTTTTACTTCCAAAAAATCTAGACCAAAGAATTATTCCAAAGAAATGATTGCTAAAGTAAGTTAAACATTTATTTATAAGTAGTGTTATATATTGTAAGCTACATTATGTTGTTTTAGCGTAATTTAGTTAACATATTTGTTTATACTCTGCGTTAGTTTGTGTATAGTCTTGTATGGCTCTAGTATGAGCGTCAGCCACACTCTCAACCACTTGTTCATCTCGCCAATTCTCATCATCCTGCCAAAAACGCAATTCTCATTTCCGTCTAAATAAACCGGGTAAATTTGTATAATTGTAAAAATGACTGAAGTATTTATTTATTTGACTGAAATTGTCAATCAAATTTTTACCGATTTCATTCAGAACAAATGTCTTTGACGATAATGTTGACGTGGTTTCTTTTCTTGATAACTGACGTTACTTTCGAAGAAGAAAACAGGAATTTGGAAATTAAGAGGATTTCCTTCATGATGATTATCAGTTCATTTTCTCAGCTTAATAGTTGTAGTGAAGTTCAAATAGGTTGTGCTGAAAAAGGCAAATAATGACTATTAAGTGTTGCTAATCCTATCTATTGGATTATTGTGTAATTTTGTGGATAATATCCATTATGATTGCATTCTGATGATTTTTATTCTATGGTAGACTTGAACAACACATATCGCCTAGATAAATTCTCCAATCATTGATAACTGCTACTCCAGAAACCATAGCCATGTCAGATTGATTTGTTTAAACCCATCTAATAAAGTTTAAAATTATCACCATAGTGTAACACATTTAAAAGTTTCTGTATTTTCAATGTATATTCTAGTTTAATCTTAATCCACATTTAGTGTTATTATTCATAGGTATTCTTCTAAAGCGTTCGTTTCCTTATTATTAAATGTGCTTTTCTTTTATATTTATCAAATAAAGAAGACTGTGTCGATTATTATGATAACTACCATTATTAGTAAAAAACGTTATTATGTGAATAAAGTGTACCTAACTAGTTGTTTAATTCAATCTAAGAGAATGAACACATAGTAGTCCAACCTATGCACATTATTCATTATTGGTAGTGTGGTGTTCCAGCCTCACTCGGTAAAGCCGATGGGCTTATCTGAATTAGAACTCGCTTTCCGAAGTTCAGGAACCCACCTCATGGATGGGATTACATAAGAATATTTTTGGAATCCCCGGGTCTCAGGTTTGAATTCTTCTCTTATCACTTACGTTTAAATAATACCTCGGTAAATAGTATTAGTGCTCATACAGATTGTATCTTAAAGTCAAGTAAACGAATCTGTACATGATTACTGATTAACATCCATAAACAAATTGGTTGCTAAAACACTCATAGTGAGCACGAAGTTCTAAATTAAGTTAATACCTTAACTGCTTCAATTCTAGAAACAATAGTATTGTATTTAGTTTCTCTTCACCCTAAAATAATGTGACTGAAACCCAAGTATATAAGTCAGTACCTAATTGAGTTGTATTCTCGTTAATTACGGTGATAATATACTGATGTTTCTGTTCAATTACTTATGCTTTTTATGCCTATCCATCATGACATACATATCCCAGTGTTCTAATAATCAAAATATCTTAGTTTTTATGTTTTTCCGCATTTAAAAAAAACTTTGCATTGAAATCTTTTGTAAACTGCACACATCATCATCTGAAACATCTTTATATGGTGAATCTGTGTATTTCGTATACATGCTGTGTGTGTTGTCTTGTGTACAATCACCGTTTGAGTGAACTATGTGTAGTGTTTATATCAATAAAGTTGAACTCCTAATTTCAATTCAACTTCAACAATCATCGCGGACGGATTAACTCAATAAGAACAATGAGCATTATAATAATCCAAATAATGAAGCTCATAATGGTTCAATGAAATATAATTCAATGTTGTACGAATTACAAGTACTCAGAATGAGTATTTTTCACAGAATTAATATAATGAAATAGTCAGAGACAGATAAACAGTTACTTATGCATAAAATGTACGTAGAGTGAATCTCAAAATTAGTTATTTGGATCAGTTCAATTTAACCGATGGAATTAGGTTTGGTCATTGAGCCGTCAAATGATTCCTTAACAAGCACAGATTTGCATAGCCTTGTAAATTCATCGCAACGGTATATGGTATTTTGATTGATAAAGTTGTTTTTGTTCCGCTAGTGTTAATCTAAATACATTATAGTCCAAGGTCTGTCAAATATATTTTACCTCATCCCAAAATTCTTAGTAAAATATCTATATTTAGGATCTTAATTGATTATTGGTTATGTTCGTTAGTGTAAAAATAGGTTGGTTGGAAGATAGATGAGGCCAAACCAATGTGTGGCATCAACCTTTGAAATCGTTCTCCCTGAGATCTGGATTATATGGTTTAGATCAGTGCGATGATCTTTTTCAACATCGCCCAAAATCTGTTGAAAGCGCTCACTTTTATTCTATATGTTAAACTTATTTATTGGTTGGTTTTGCTTTTCTGACTTTTATACCAATTGATTACAGTCTATTAGAACCAATTCATCGTGTAATTTGAAAGTATTCCCTATTTCAAATTGGTCCTATTTACAGCTTGCACTGTTGATAACCAAACATCTAAGTGTTTAAAACCAAATAAGCTCCTTGCCTAAACTGTATCATATTGGTATCGAAACCTAGAAATCCTGATTTCGATTTCTCTTTAGATTGGGAATGTCCACCACTGGGGTTGATTTTTAAATCCTAATCCTATTGATTTTATGAGCTATAATCACTAACCGAACTGCCATGTGAATATAGATTGGGAAGTTAAAGCTATATATATATATATATATGAATTCTTGATTGATTGCTTTTTAATGTAATGAAAGAAACTCGTATTGCGTATAACACTACTAGTTATAAATTGTTAATTTTGCAATCCAAGTAGTGAAATGGTTCTTTAAAAGGGAACCAGTTAATCTTAAGTTGCCAACAAAAGAAAAAGGACGAAATCATGTGATTTATTTTCCACCTGAAGTGGAAAAGGTTACTTTAAATAATTTCAATAATAATAATTATTGTCATTACAAAATGACTTTCCTATTGACAACCTAATTCTTCTTTACCAACCATTGAAACACAGTGTATTTTTTCAATAAAAATACTAATCACCATAGCAGTGTTAGGCTTAATTTTATTGCCATTTAGCTAAACAAATGCATCTCAGAACCTGACTTCATTCATCCGGTCTCTAGACTTCGACATCACAAATAGCTGTTGTATCTCTGAAGACACACGCTGGTGGTCTGATCTAGCCAATGCGGAGATTCAGTGTGAATATATGGAAGGTCAGCATTTAACTTGTATTTTGTTGATGATCATCTACTGAGTGACTAATCACGAAATTGTAATGTTTAGAAAATAAATGCTAAAGCTTATTATTTTTATTATTATTACTTCGTTCATACATAAGTTTTGGTGATGTCGACTGACACATGAATAAGTAGATATTAACACATTAAGACAATTACACCCACGTGAAATAAAGTCGTTTACACATATGTCGTCTACATGGTGTATCTGTGTCTATCGGTCATTGTGAATACCAAAATCATATCGTTTTGATTTACCTACCTACTTCAATAATTTGAGATGTGCTTAATCCATCAGTTTCCTATTTTCCCCAAGTTTTCCCCGTTTTTGTAATCGTTATTCTTCTTTTTCTACCAAATGTTAATTCTTGTTTTCTTGTCATTATGTTACACCTTACTGCATATCGGTCAGAATGGCGGCTCGTATAAATTTCTGTGCCCCTTTCTACCAATGTTTATGTGTTATGTACATACGGTTTATTATTGTTCATGAACTTCGAAAACTTGTATGTGCCTATGAAATTTCAATAACACAATATATGCTCTCAACTATCGCTCAGAATTTTCAGTAGTGATTGTTGATATTTTTGTGATTTCTATGTTTTCTGTAAGACAATATAATTTTTTCTGTCGAACTTAATAAGCTTATCGTTTAATGAAGAAAATGAAGGATTATTTTCAATAGTAGTAACCGTACTAATAATATCATATATATATATATATGCTTATTTTACTTTGCATATACACCCACGCAGTCCTTTGTGGTTGCAGTGTTTTTATGCTCAATGACCCGTTAACACAATAAATCAATGCTGTCCTAATTATGAGAATATGTTTTAATGAAGTATTAAGTATATTGTCTAATGCGTTTGGGCTTGTTCGAATACAACTGTAAGTAACTGACCTTTAATAACAAAAATCTGCATTCATTATTCGGTCAAATAAATTTTAATATTTCAGTATAGTTATGTATATATATTATTTAATTATGTGGAAAACTATAAATAGTTAATGGGTTGTTTGTTATTTAAATATAATCATTAATATAACATGAAGTCATTGACTAGCGTTTTCATTTCAGTAGTTTAGTATACTGTCTATCAGCTAGCTTATTGTACCAAGGTAGACGAACTACTGAGTCTTTGCATGTGCGATTCACTGATATTGGGAAAATGTGGAGGATTAATTTTAGTGTGGTAGATGAGGGTGGTGATGTAGCGTTCGCCTAGTTGGAGAATTTATTTCTCTAAGCTTTCATAATCGTTCTGGATAGTAAACAAAATTAGAATCAACATTTTCGAATGTGTCATTCAAATTACTAGTTCTCACACATGAAACATCATCTTATATTATTAAGTGTAGATTTTTTGTCTATTCCCAACACATTGTTGAGATTTAGGTTGCAAACTGATTTTAAAACCAACCTGTAAGTTGTCTTAGTTTATCGCTATTGATCAACACTTTCTTATTTTTTCCTTAATTAAGTGAGTAATTTCTTAAGTATACACTCTCAACAAATTTTATTCTGCCCTAACTTGGGTAAGGTCTCCCAATCATCATTTTTCTGCATTCGTTAATATATATATATATATATATATATATATATATATATATATATATATATATAGTTAAGGAAATTACATATAGACTTTTCCCCATTGAACAAAACCATATTTCAGTCGTGTTTTAGTACAAACTGTTATAATAGACACT